AATTTCAAAAAAACCTTTGCAGTTGGCCAAAAAGTTATTCTCTATCAATCGAAACTTAAATTATTTCCAAGTAAATTATGTTCTCGTTGGATTGGCTCTTTTTTAGTTACTCACGTTTTCCATTGTGGTGCAATAGAAATTCAAATTTTGAAAATGAATAAGAAATTCGTGGTGAATGGACATCATTTCAAATCTTATTATGAAGGTTTTCCAGTCGAGGAGGTGGAGATGTTGCAACTTGAAGATCTAACTCATACAAACTGAAGATATTTAGTCATGTCTAGCAAAGACGTTAAAGAAAGGCGCTTGTTGAGAGGCAACCTAACTCTGTTGATGTTATTTCAATTGTGTTTCCTCATTTTTATATTTGAGTTTCATTTTACTCATTTAATGTTTGTGTTTTGTAGTTGAATGAAGGCACATCTGCACTTAACTTACAGTCCGTTATTTTTCACAAGTGCAAAATTTTAAGAATGATGTGCCTGTGCCTCTGGTAACGTACTAAAAAGAAATTTCTCAAAATCATGATCAGAAAATTCTTTCACTTATAACGCAACCGTGCCTTGTTCTATTGTGATGATAAAAAAAAATTTAAACTAAAAATTAAAAATTAAAAAATATTTTAAAAAAAAATTTTCCTTTTTCTTTTCTTTTCCTTTTCTCTCTTTATTTTTTTTCTCTTTATTTTTTCTTTTTTCCTTCTTTCTTTTCTTTTCTTTCTTTCTTTCTTCCTTTTCCTCTCCAACCACACGACTGTCGCCGCCAAGACTCGGTTTCCGCCGCCGTTTCAGTCGCTAATCACCGCTACCATCACCGCCCTTGTTCGTCGTTTTCTTATCGCTGTTGTGAGCCACAAGCTTTTTTTTTTCCTTGCCGTCATTCGCCGCCGCGCTCACTGCTCCAGCCGCTGTTCGTCTGTTGCTCAAGCTCGCCATCACCGACCGTCTTTCAAACGCCGACCACTGCCATTCAACAGTCACAGCCACCGTTTGCTGCTCCTCGTGTCTGTTCGTCATCCTGCCATCGTTTACACCGTCGTCTAGTCGCGGTCTCACCACACATTGGCGCCGCTCAAGCTTACTAGTGACCACCATTTTCTATTTTACCCACAAGCAGTAGTCATCGACTCCTTTCTATCACTTGGCGGTATCGTAATCTACTCTATGACTCAAATTATGGATACCATTAGGCTATTGGCACACAACAGTGACGGTTCTTGTTTTTTACTGAATAAAATTATTGTTGTTGCTCTTTGTTTTGTGTGGTGTTCCGGTTCTAACAATTGACTTGGTAAATTTTTGGGGGTAAATTATTGATCATTCACTATCTCTATGCTGGCGAGTTGGTTATTTTTATATTTTCTATTTGAATTGGTGAATCGACGTTGATTTCGGGATTTCAATTTCTAATTACGATTCCTTGGCAAATCAAATCCTTTATTTTCTTGGGGTGAAATTGCCCTTATTGGAATCTGATTGGTAATTTTATTTGGTTAAAAATTTGGTTCATTATTAAAATTCTGGTTTGGGTGATTTGTCGAATCTGTTGTGCTGGTTAATTGATTTGTTAGTCGATTATTCACCTTCTGGACTGATCAAGGATGACAATGGCCAAGAAAAAGCGCACCAGTAAGAAAAATACTAACACTCCATCACCACAACCCACCATTAGGAAGACTAAACCTTCTGTTGCCTCTACTTCAGGGCAAATGTCTCGATTAGGTCGGGATAAAGGGATACATATAGAGTCACCAGCTCACTTTGGGGAAACTTGAACTTTACTAAGGATGAGGATAAATGTCGATATGCCAATTGTTGCGAGAAGCGCATAATTGCTAGTAAATAGATCCACCAACCTACACTAAAAACTTTACAAATTGCCAATGAGATGGATGAGTTGTTTACAATTATTGGATGGAGTAACTATACTCGAATTCATTGTCCCACCTTGTTGAGTTGACTAGGGAATTCTACGCCACATTCGAGTTTGAATTACCTAATGAATTCACTGTCAACACCCTCAATGTGATTAGACATCGATTTTTGGGCAGGGAGTTTAGGCAGTTGATCGCCGAGTTCAATCTCGCTTTTGGTTTCATCGGTAGAGCCCAATCTAAGATGAGAGAGTATATTGATAGTGCTTGTGACTATGTCGAGCCCTTCTTCTCAACACATATAGGTTTATGATCTAGATAGGGAGTGACATGACCGAGCCAATCTAAGAGCTTTTCCTTAAGTTCTCTGCTTGGCGATATGTTCACGTTTTTTGCTTATAGCTTTTCGGGTAGGAAGACAGTTCAGGCATTATGGCCAAACCCGAATACTTCTTTTTGTGGTGCATGTTAAATAACCTTAAGGTTAATCTTGGGTGCTGGTTGGCTATACAATTCAAGTCGGTTTTGCCTAAGAAGAACAAACCTCTTATATTGGATTCCTATATACTCATTAGGCGATTAATCTGGGTATTTTGGATTTTCGTCATGATTTGCACTTAGCTTGTCCGATGGAGCCCTTGGATTTAGGTTGCTTGGAGAAAATAGGGGTTGTGGAGCACATTCTTGGTGAATATATGCTTGCCCCCAAGCCCTATTCAACCACCTCCTCGATGAGGCCAGCGTCAACAGAGTCCCCCGCGTACTGAGGATTTACTTCGCGATGACCTGGCCTTCTACAAGCATATATTGTTAGTATTGTTAACTGATTCATGCATTCTCCTAGTAAGTGGTATATGGAAGTTGTAACGCAAATCTTTCAATACTTGAAGGATTCATCTGGGAAAGGCATTTTATTTTCTAGAAAACTATCTCAATATTATTGATTACACAGATGCTAATTAGGTGGGAAACACTATCGATCAAAAATTGACTTCAGGCTATTTCACCTTTGTTAGTGTAATTTAGTTATTTGGAGTAAGAGATAAATGGTGATGGCATTGTCCAATGCAAATGCTGAGTTCAAAAGGAATGGCTAAGCGTATATGTGAACTTCTATATGACTTAAGAGGCTGATGACCGATATTCGCTTTACTCCAAAGTCAGAAATTAATCTTGTTTGTGATAATAGGACAGTTATCAATATCAGTCATAATTCCATTTAACATAATCTCATCAAACATGTTGAAATGGATCGGCACTTTATTAAACAAAATCTTCAAAAAAGGGCGATACAATTCCCATTCGTGAAATGAAGATCAACTGACTAATATACTCACGAAAGCTATGCCAGCTAAAAGCTTCCACAACTCACTTGACAAATTGGACATGTATGACACAACTTGAGGGGAAGAATTAGAGTGAGTTGTTAGTAGTTAGGTGTTGGGTCTTGATTAGTGTTGATTCTTAGTTTTGATATCTTGTTTTTATGTATACCAAGTAATTATCTAAAGATTGTTTAGATTTGTTGTATTTTATCTTATTGATTTGTCTTTAGATTTGTTGTATTTTATCTTAGTGTAAGCCTATATATAGGTCTTGTATCATTGTAACATTTGCACGTGAAATACAAAAAACATTCCCCCAAACTCTTTTCTTCTTAACATCACTAATTTTTTTTTTTTGACCCGATGGGAAGATTTCAAGCCTTAAAGGGAGGAAGGAGAAAAGTAAGGGGCTTGCACTAGAAAAAGGTTTTGCAAGCTGGGACAGCATTGTTTTATTAACATATATAGTAAATGTTGTGAATGCAATTGCCCCAATTGAACCAAATGCTGATGTGGCGCTCTTCCATTGGTTGATTGGTGGTAGTCCTCCAATTGATTCCAATTTGACGAGTTGTCGTCCTCTGATTCGTCGATTGGTGGTAGTCCTCCCAATTGCATATTAAATTGATGATGGCGAGTTTTGATTGGATGAAAAGTAATTGTCCTCTAATTGCATGTAGGATTGTGCTAAAATTTTGCTTCTTACTTTTTTATCCAACAAATCACATTAACAAAAAATTTGGATTCCTTTTTTCTTTGTTGTCCGTCAAATCACATATAATTACCAATTCTTTGCAATTAATTGTTAATAACTAATTTAATGTCATGTTTCTTGTCATTCAACAGATCGCGCTTGATGAGTTGGGTCGTGTTTAACTACCGACTCCTTCAGTTATTACCAAAAAAATTATATATTTTAGGGCAAAACAAATAATAATTATCATTTTTTACCGTTGATTGTTAGCAATTATTTATTGCTTTTCGTTGGCCTTTTTAGTCTTCCGCCAAATTGCATATATTTACTGATACTTTGCAATTCATTGTTGCTGGCTGCTTAATAATGGTTTTTCCCTTGCTGTCCAATGGATCGCGTCTAATTAGCAATTTCTTGCAGTTGTTAGGCAAAAAAAAAGGGACATTTTTTCGCAAAAAAAATATATTTATCAACTGTTTTATTTTATGGATGTTATAAAAAAAATGCCCTTTTTGCTGTTAATGTTTCGTTAGTTAATTAATACTTCAATTTTTTTCCCCGGTTAATGGTTTGCTGGTTTTTTAGCTTCTTTTTTATGCTCCGGCGGATTGTATGAGCAAAAAGTGTCCTTTTTTTCCTCCACCAAACTGCATGTATTTACTGGCGCTTTGCGCTTAATAGTGCCTTTTTTTGGTCATCCAATAAATCGTGTTTAATTAGTGCTCCCTTGCAGTTGTTAGCCAAAAAAACCATTTTTGTTCCAAAAATAAAAACAAATTTAATCTGTTTTTATTTTCTTTTATCAAATAGATGCTTTTTTGCCATTAATGCTTCGTTGGTTAATTAATAATTTCGTTTTTTCCCCTTTGATGATTCGTTGTTTATTTGGCCGCTCTTCTTTTTTTGCTCCAGTGGATCGTCTTAACAAAAAAAATGACCATTTTTTTCTTCCACCAAACTGTATCTATTTACCAATACGCTACAATTAATTGTTAATAGCTATTTAATAATGTCTTGCTTTTTATTGTTCATCTAATGGATCGTGTTTAATTACCGGTTCCTTTAGTTATTAGGAAAAAAATATTTTTGCCAAAACAAATAATAATTATCATTTTTTAACGTTGATTGTTAACAATTATTTATTGCCTGATCTGACCCAATATATTGGGTTAGCAAAAAAGTGCCTTTTTGCCTACTTACATTCATATTTACCTATCAATTTCTCTCTGTTAATTGTTGCCTTTTCCTCGTCACTTTTTTTTTTGTTATTGTTAATGATTACTTAATTAGTTGGCCTGCATTTTAGCTGTTCAAAATAAAATATGCCTCTCTATTAGTATTTTTTCCTTGAACAAAATCTTTTTTTTCGTATATTTGTCTAAAGAGTTGCACTTTCCGTTGCTGGCATAGATTTTTGCAATCTACTTTCTGCGCATCTTAATCGAATACATCCTCAGCCATCACTTCTGATTACTTCCATTTGGTGGAGAGTTGTATTTGATGGGAAAGTTGGTACCTCTATTTTACTAAACTACCCAGCCTTTATCTTTCCGTTTGCTCAGTTTCTCTTTTTTCCTTATTTCCTGCTCATGGACATATTTGTAAAAATGAAGTGACCGTCATTGTTGCCTTTTGCCAAACATCACCTTTCAGCCTTGCTCTGTTCAGGGATAATCCGGTGTTTTCCCTTTATACAGTGGTTGTTACCATTACCTGGTTTGTTCTAGCAGAACCTCGGCGGCTTACCATCATGATCGGCGGTATATCTACAGCTGTTGCATCCTCCCTTCTAATCCCTTTCGGCTGTTTTTTTTCTAGACAGAATAGAGGTTAGCTATCAACTTCCTTCTTCTCTTGCTCTTGCTTCTTTTTGCCTTTTTCATTACTAATTTCCTGACTTTGTTTCAGTTTGCAAAGTTGCTATCTCTGCTGTTTTGCTGGTGAGTGCCTTGCTCCAAGAACGTTTAACTTAGTCCCTCTGCATCTGTTGAGCTTTTTTTTACAAAAAAATAATTGCTTTCCTTTTTTCCCTTGTTGCTTTGTCATTTTACTTAGTTATTGCCTTCTTTTTCCAGCAACGGTTTCTTTCTTTTCTTGCGCACCAGCTTAATGCCTTTACTTTTTTCATTGCACTCGGTCTATTAGCACGGGCTTATTTTTCCTTGTTCTGTTTCTTTTCGCTATTAGCTTTTGTATGCTCGATTTTATCGTGGTACCGCCTGCTTTTCTCTGATTCTGCCCCGAAGCTTTTTTTGCAGCCAGACAGGTTAGTGTTTCTGGTTCTCCTCTCTTTCCTATTTCTTTTATATTTGCTATCTATATTCCGTCTCTATCACTTGTATTTTCTGCTATGTGGTTGGTTGCATCTTCTTAGAGCCTCACTTCTTTGACTTGAATTGCGGGAGCTTATTTACTACTTCCCGAAACTTTTGGATGACTTTGTTGGGTTAACAAGGAGCTTTTCAACTCCTGTTCCTGTACTATTACTGCTGAAGGATGGAAATTATAGACAGCCTTGCATTTCATGTTGAACTACTTTTTGTTACTTATTTTATGTGTCCATTTCGTTTGTTTGCTGCTTATTTCCTAGCTGTTGGATTTCTTATCTTCCTGCTCGTTGCTTGCTTATTAATTTAGCTTGGACATTTACAGACCTGTTTCCTTTTTTTGTGTTTTTATTTGTTCAATCTTGTGTAACACTTGTTATATTACTTGCCGTTTGAATTAGCTAATATTGTTCATAAATTACAATTAAATTGGCCATTACTGGGCATAATTGCATTCGCACACCGCGCATCGCGCGGTGATCCTCCTCCTAGTATCAAAAAAGCATGATGAGAAAAGCAAACTTGGTCAAATAGATATAATGTTTTCATTATTTACAAGAACAATTTAGCACGTCCATGATCATATTGAGCCAATGTGATAGAGGAAATAACAAAACATTTTGTGTGTAGTTAACATTTGAATATATTAATGATTCGATAAACGCATTTACAGGGGTGAGAATCTCAAGAATATTTTTCATCAAAAAGAATATTACAACTATCATTGTTTGTCTCGAACAAAACTCAAACCTCCAATTTCTCATTCAACGGTACAAGTTGTAGATTGTCATCATCCCTCCTAGAGCTATTGTTGGCAGTCTTTGTCAATATATCAAATGGAACTACAAGACTTGAATGATCAGCATTTGGAACAAGAAATATCAAAGCCAATGTACCAAATCTGAGAAGATTTCTGATGAGAAGTGTTACCCACAAATTCTTGAAATTAGTTCTGGTGACATGAAATAGATGGAGAACCATCCCTCCGGCAGATTTGGAAGTAAGTGAACCAAGGCTATCAATGCACATTAACAATGCAAAAAATGTGCCCTCAATGCCTATAGGACATAATCTGCTACTCAACACCATCATTGGCATCCATCTAATTCTACTGATGATTCTTGACACGCATTCTTCCATGATTACGAAGAAGTAATCTGGAATTCCAAGAGCTAAATTCCAACGAAGCACGAAAACAAGATCAAGCATTCCTGAAGTTGCATACAGGAGCTGCGCAAAAAAGAGCAAACTTCTAAATGGATAATCTTTAAGGGTTTTGTGATATATTAGAACCCCAACAATGGATGCCAATGCACCAATTGCATAGATAATACCTACAAATTCCTGCAAAACATGAGGAATGTGAGTTCAGGAGCTAAAATACGGGCATATTTTCAGTGTGGGCAAAACTTGGGGTGTTTCACTCAACGGTGAAGCGCCAGACTGAGAGCCAATGGGGTTGCAGTAATCTTTCAATTAAGTTTTATGATTTTAAGTTATTGTTTTGAAAAGTGAAACTGAAAAAAAAATCCATACTTAACTTATTTAGCTTCAATGTCAATGATTTCTTTGCAAAAAGGATTCAGATGTTTGCAATTCCAGTTTATGCCTACATACCTATATGGACACACATTTTGAACTTGAAATAGGTCCAACACATCCTTTCATAGAACGATAACAGAGAATTATTTACTTGGGGGAAAATCTAAGGGGAAAAGTGAAATTTTGAAAATTTTAGAGGTAATCATTATTTATTTATTTTAAGTGCTTGACTTCAATGATATCATTGTCTCACCAATATTCACAATTTTGAGCTTAAGAGTTGGCACCTAACTGCTAACTAGCTATACTGAAATGACATATTATAGAGGTCTTGATACTAAACAGTGGAGTTTATTGTCAAAATAATTCTTCTTCCTTAACATATACCCAAAGTAATTTAATTTTAAAATTTATTACCTTTATGATCCTTTTTTTGCCACTTAAGCTGCATATGTGTCAGGATGAAAAAAATATCATCCATTTCTCTTTCTCATCTAATATCTTTTCAATTTTCTCTCTAAACCTTCCTGCATTTTTTTCTTTCGTTATCTTTCCCGTGTCAAACATAATCTAAGAAGCCAATATTTATGTTAACAGCATCTAAAATTATGCTTCTCGAGTCGATAATCTTAAGGCAAATGAAGATTATTCTCTTGTCTTTCAAAGAGTAGGAAGGATAACATAAACAAATATGATAGCCTTGAAGTTTTTGTAATTGCTTACAATTTTCGTTGCCATTTTTGTTGCAATTTTTGTATTTTTAAAATTTATTTTTTTGAAAAATATATATGCAATAGGTTTGATACATTTTAAAAAATTCAGAGACCAATAATAGCAAGGTCAATAATGGTAGAATTTATTTTAGATAATTATAAGAAATTATAAAAGTTATGCAATCTTTTTGTGCCTCTATAATAAAAAAATTTAAAATTTTAGTTCACATTGGAAACTATAAACTAGATAAGAACTTTTCTTTCTTGTTATCCTATGGGCAATCAGGATAATTAGATGATAACAATAATATCAATATGGGAATAAAATTTGAAAGTGAATCACATTGGAAATATTTTTTAGTAAAGAGTGTTATTTTGGCAAAAAAAAAAAAACTCCTAAACAGTGAGAATTAACAAGTTCAGGCTGTATACTTTCGATTCTGGAATTCTTAAGAGTTAAAATTTAGGAATTTTAATGGAGAAAAAATTACCATCATAACTTACTAATGTTTTTCCAAATAAAAGTGCAAAGCTAAAAGCCTTTTCTTCAAATAGGATGTATAAAGATGACCTGAGAGAATGCTGGACCAGCTTTGGGATCTGTATACCAATAGAATTGGCCTTCATGAGTACTTATGCTCAAAGCTATAGATAAGTACATGTATAGCGATGGCTTCCATACATCTGGGCACTGGATTGTCTTGCACATGCCTTTCACTGCTGTTCCCAAATTCTCAACTGCCTGCATTGCATTGAACAAGTAGAAGTAATTATATAGACATGCAAATGTGTAGATCATTTTGCAGAGACCTTATTTTCTTAAAACGGTCCCTCTAGTGGCCTTGTAATTATTGGTTAAGGATATTAAGAAATTTTTATTGTAAATCCCAGTATGTTTTGAAGTAGATTGCCTTCAAATGTTGGGATGGGTAAATCATAAAGTTTTTGGATTGAGAAATATTGCATGAGCAATTCTTTGTAATTTTGAATTTTGACGAACCCCTGTTGAAATCAAAATAAAGTTTAGGAAGGGAACTTTTTCATTTGAGAAAAATTTCATCAATGGCTACAACTCTCTCAAAACAACTAGGAAAAATTTTCCTTTGTTTTGATCACATAAAGCAATATGTGGTTAAATCCTGCATATCTTGGCTTCTTTCGAGTATGAGATCAAAGTTCAAACCTACAACCAATGTCTTAAAAATTAAGGTTGTGTTTGGATTGTATTTTTCGTTATTTTTCATGGAAAAATTACTGTAGCGATTTGATATATGTGAGGGAAAAAGGTGATAGGGAAATGTGATCACAGAAAACGACAATATTTTCCGATGGAAACAAGCAATCCAAGCAAGTTTGTTCAAACGATCAAATTGTGAACTCACCATGTCACTAGTTTTCTATTAAATTTGAAAGTCGATTGAACCGATTAAATCCAATCAAGAACCAATTAAAATGGATTAAAAAAATGACCTTTTAAACTAACTCCTTCTATTTTTTTTCCCTTTTTCTTTGTTTTGTATTTAATGCTAAAATATATTAAGAAATTAAAATCTCTGACTCTGGATTGAATCATGAATTAAAAGCTTATTCGATTCGCTTCTTGATTCAAATTTAAAAATATTTGTGTATAATACCACCTTTTGTGAGATGGAAGAAATAACAAAAAAAATTTGACCCTTAGTCAAACGGACAAAGCGTCAATAAAAAATAAATTTAAAGGGGTAAAGTGCTGCTCATCCCTAATTACAAGGGGACATGGTGCATATAAGCCACTTAACCCTGATGGGGGCGCTAACCGCGTCGGGAAGTATAACATTAGCTGGTTTCATGAATAAATAAATTAAAAAAGAAGAAAAGGAGTCATCAATCAGGATTCAGGCCAAAATGTCTTTAGGGTCCTGTTGGAATTAGTGTCAATTTAATTAACACTTTCTTTTTCTTTTTTCAATTGATTTAAAAAAAAAAAAAACTGTTTACAAGTGCTTATCGAGTTGCATCCTTTTTCGCACTATTGCAAGATCAAGCGTCAAGCCACAATTTGTCAACAGGGGGTGGACATTTGACATGTCTAAAACTAAAGGCAAGGAATTATTCAGCAAATTTCTTGCAAGTCAAAGAATTTAAAGCAAGCGATAATTATACATCTCATAGGCCAAAAATTCAGACTCAACAAGAAAGTAATATCATTTTTAAATTTTATCAAATATAAACTCAAGAAATTAATTTTGAAACCATGCTTCACTATCACAAGATTTGCCTTGATATTTTGGTTTTATATATGTTTTTTTTTTTCAACACAGGGATATCCAGATCATTCCTTACGGGTCCGACTAATCTCCTGCGGCCCGAAAGCGAAGGCCTCACGCTTCCGAACACGACAACTACGGGACTCGAACCCTGGATACCAAGTAAGTGGCCATAACCCAACTGGGTGGAGCGCACAATCCGAGCTACTCCGCGGGGCTGGTTTCATATATGTAAGGCTAGTAATATTGTTAAATTTTAAATTTTAATACCGAAATAATTTTGTGGCTGATGTATCATACTTTTTTTTTCAAATCGAATGGGGTTGGAATTTAAGAATGGAGAGAGGACAGGAAATTAGAATTTCAAATTTTTAATTTCTGACTGTCAATCTGAATCACCAGACTTACTCATATCCAGTCAAATCAAATACCATCACAATTCACAATTTTTAATTGAGATTTGTAGTCTCATACTTGACAAAATTTGCTATGGCATCAAAATCTGAACCGTACATGTAACTAGTTAATATTATTCTATTAATGCTCGAGGACCTGAGAAAATAGTTGTTTATGTATATGTTTTCCCCATTATGTATGTCATTATTTCATCAAAATTTCCTAATTTATCAACTTGTTTAAGGGGCCAGTTTTCCTTCTACGATCTTCAATCCTAATACCCAAATCATCCCACCTTTTAAGGTTTTCCTCTTTGGACAGCTCTTACATTGTCCCGGTCTATTGATTAAAATATAGCCGCCCTTTTTTGTAGGTTCAATATATCACTTCCCAAGTTACTTGCTCCCTGGATTTAACCTGCTCAGCAGTTTAATATTTTAATAGATTATAAGAAAACCGTTCCAAAAAAAAAAACCCCTAAATAATTCTACTCAGTTTCAGAAAAGACAAAAAGAATCATCCCCTTTGAACGTGATTAAGATGGTAATTGTCTAAAATTCAGATGAAATTCTCTAAAAGACATAATTAAAATATGATTTTATCACTGTTATTTTTCTTAATCAGCATCCTAGCTCCTGATTTGACCCTAGAATAAATCTCAGAAAAATTACTCTGATTTATTTGAATGAATGCTTGATGAAGAGGGATGATTTAATTTCCTAGCTTAGTCTAGCATCTAATATTGCAGAATAATATGATAGTTGTTAAGAAATATACAAGAATGGAGCTAGCTAATCATGCATTGGTTATTATTTTTGCTTATTTTCTACTTTACTCACCTTTTTCTTCTCAAATTGGATGTCATCTACAGTTTTCAACTCATTGATCACAAACCCAAGTGCAATCAATGCAGCCGGTGGTATTGCCAAAAGCCCAAGCGACCCCTGCAAAATGCAGTGTAGAGTGGTATAAATTGCTTATTGAAATCTGTAAATCATTAGCAAAATTGCTTTCTAAAACCAAAAAAAAAAAAACAAGAATTACTATTTGGTTTAGAGCAATAAATGCAGAAAATAAAAGGACTAGCCTGAGCTCCGAGATGGTGAACAAAGAAACCACTGGAGGAGTACCCAATAAGTGCACCAACCGAGGAACAAAACCCACAAAGGCTTTGCATATCAGGAGCCAATGATTTGATTTCTATGCTTTTTCTTGCAATACAGGCATCAATGGTCACATCTGCAATGGCCACCCCAGTCATTATTCCGATCAGAAATCCCAAAGCCAATGCAACTGCCAAATTTCCACTCAAAGCCAAAAACAGTGCTGAAATAGCCCCTACAACACCAGCAAGTACAAAATATGGTCTTCTTTTGTAACCTTTGACAGGGAAAACATCTGTGAGTAGTCCCCAAATGGGCTTCATCACCCATGGAATGGAGTATAAGCTTATGAATAGCTGCACTGCGAGGGCTGTACCTTTTGGACATCTTTCCAATAGTAATCTGAGACTACTTTGAAGAAAGATCCAGAGAAGCCTTGGCTTAGACCATAGACAAGAATAACGCCAAGAACAAAGGTTGAATCCAGTCTTGAAGAGAGCATCTGAAGCCATTCAAGTGGTTCAAGAATCACAGATTTTATTGAATGAGTTTTCACCAAGTTTGAGTTGGAGGGCTCCTCCTCTTTTTCATTTCCTTGATCTTCTGAGGCTGCAGCTAAGGGCTGTCCTGACTCATCAATATTGCTATTCGGTGTCTTTGGATTGAGCTCTTGAGTCTCTGAGGGACACATTTTGGAGATTCAGGCTTTGAATGAGAGATCATGGATCTGAATCTGAACTCATAAAGGAAAGGTAAGAAATTTGGATTTCCTGTAAGGGCAAGTGTTGACTTGCTAAAGTCAACTAAACATTTTGGGACAGCTGTTGATATGGTTTTATACCCTGTATCGTCTATATTCGAGGAATCAAAAAAGTTTCAATGCAAACTAGTTGAAATTTGGACATGCAAATTGTCTGGCAAGACTTATAAAATAATGCAAGTGGATTTAATCCTTGTCTATATCTCACTGCTCCTGTCACCAATTGGCTGGATGGTGTTGATTTGTGAGTCTCTCTTAAATTAGTCTCTGACTCAATTTGGCGATGACTCTATGAGCGTTTCTAATCTAATTGTGTGTGTGTGTGTTTCTTCTGTCTATGAAAAAAAATATCTCACTGCTCACTGCACATTTATTCGTGCTCATCTTTTTTATTTTTGTTTTCACGTGGCTAACAAAAATATACATCATTCTCAAAGGATTTTTTTTTATCTTCTTGTATTGTATTAGTAACAACTCTTTATTAAAAATTCTTTTTTTTAAAAAAAAAAAGTGAAGAAATGGTAATTAATCTTAGATTTGGTTAAAAATCTAGAAATCTTTAACTTGAATGAATCCTCGGACTGCCCCTATCTTTATTTAGTACTAGTATCATATTAGGCATCAAACCTTAACACATCAAACAAACAAGAGGTTCCGAAAATAGTTGCCAACGAAATCCCATTCTTGCCTGCACAAGGGACATTCAAACTTAGGGGAGTTTTAATTGTCTCAGCAAATACATATCCAACTGATCAATGTAACATGATTAGCAAAACTTGCTGCCTGAAAAGGTTATCAAGAGTGAAATTTGAACCCTTTATTTGAGACAGGGACAATTGTATTCTGAACCATTTCTGGAACCTAATTGAAAACAATATTAGGATTGTCCAAACGGTAAAATTTGCATGTCCTAAAGTATAGTTACAATAGAATCACAATTAGCTAGGCTGTCTAAATAGTAGTATGCCTTGTTTGGATTGCATTTTCTTGAATTTTTTATAAAAAAAAATTACTATAGCGATTTGATGTATATGAGAAAAAAATGTAATAGAGAAATGTGATCACGAAAAATGACGTAATTTTTCGGCGAAAAATGGCTGCCCAAACGGGGCATGATCAACAGGAGATTGGACATTACTAGTTACTTAGTAAACAATAATAATATTTTTCAACTACTAAATGGTAAAAACTTGGATAACGTTGAACCAGATGATATATTCTTAGTAACCTGATATTTGCAAGGACTAGATCCTCCTCCACATGAATTTCCTACAGTGCACGAATCCGTAAGGAAAAAAGAAAGCATGATGATCATAAAACTACAATTCTTAATTCTATTTACTGTTACTAAAATCAATGCACATATAACTGACGTATGTATTGAACATAAATTATTTGGCTAAAATACTTAAACGAAGTTACTAAAGTTCACTGCTCAATGTCTCAAGGTAGTCCACTTTTCTTGAGATGTGAGGTTTTACGAGTATCACTTGGTGCTTTGCGTCTTTGTCAATCACTACATAAATCACGCTTCCTCCCCTCAAACGAAACCACCAAAAAAAAATCTATGAAACAAAAAAAGAAAAGAAAAGAACCTAATAAATTTATTGAATGAAAGAGAGAGATGAAAAAAAAAACAAAAAAGAACCCTTTGATTTTCAAAATCTTGCCGGCTCATATATGCAAGACAAAAAAAAAATTATTATTATTATTATTATACCTTTTGGTGATTTGGTTACACAACAACTGTATCACTATATTAAAGTCCCCACACGGCTGCATCACAGGGCCGCCAGGCACAGAAGGAGATGTATTTTATATGAAGGTATAGGTTACGTATGACAAACAAATATGATTGAGTTCTATCAAGTACTTTATTTGAATCAAATAGTTTTTGAATCTCTTGAAAGGAACTATTTGTTTTTGGTTAAATCGCGTAGACTTGAAAAGTTTTTTAACCAACGGGGGTTGGGCCAAGTGGTAAGCAGTTTGGTTCCGCTTAAACAAGTCTCAAATTCGAAACCTGGCGTACGCAACTATCCTTGTTGGAAAACTCGCTCACCACGGCCAGGTGTGCGATCCGAGACGACCAACGGATTAGTCAGGGCAAAACCCTGGATACCGTGGCAGGCAACAAAAAAAAAGAAAAGAAAAGTTTTGCAGATATTAGCTATCATAATATTAAATCTGCAAATGTTTTCGGGAAAATTTTAAGAAACCAAAAGATTCAAACGTCTAGTGATTACCCAACAAATAATGAAACAAACAGAAGCCAACAGCTCAGCTGGAAAGGCTAGAAACACTAATCAATATAGAACTGATACGATTAATGTGAGAATAAAGATGGACATCACACTTTGATTTGAATTTACTCTAATGTAAAGGAAATCTCAATTGTTTATTCAATCACCAGCATTGCTTACGACTTCTGCGTGCTTCATCTTCCGGTATTCCATTCCCTGGTGTAGTCGTTTCCTGGTGTAGTCGTTTTCTGAGGATGTTCAGCTTAGAGTTACGGACAATCAAACCATTCGTGAACATGTTCAATCAAAGATCGATTCAAACTCAATCAACATCGAGTTCGGACTGATTAAGTCAAATTGAAGTTCAAACTTGAGTTAGAGAAACTAGATTATTAACTCATGAGCCGCTCAAATATATATATATATATATATATATATATTTTAATAGTAAAATTATATATATCTCTAATATTTTATTATTTGTTAAGAAAAAATTACTATTTTATTTATTTTAAAAAAATAATTATTTTTTATTTTTAAAGCTCGATTAAGATCTGCTCATTTGCAACCCTAGTTCGGTCTGTACCTTGCTAAGGAATGACAATTTGTAGGGAAAAAAATTCATCTCTTCTCTATGCCAAAAATTGGTACGCAATGATGGAAGCTAATTCAACTTTTATATCTTTTTTTAATTTATTATTAATTTATTATTTTTTAGTTCTAATGATATTCCAAACCTTATAATGATGAC